TTTTTTGTACTATATGTTATCATTTAAAATTTTTAATTATTATTTTTTAACTGTTAATAAAAATCCATATCTTATCAGTTAAAATTTTTTAATTATAATTCATTTATCGAAATATCTCAGTATCAGTTTATATTAAAAGTTATCAAATTGCTACTTTTGTAATCATTCTTCTATTGCTATCAATTTTGTTTATTTGCCTTATCTTTATCATAAATTAAAGTTTTTTCATTCAAGACTATCTTATATATAAATTTTTAAATTTTATATCTCATCGAAATGTTCAAACTAATTTCATTTTTTCACATTTCTATCCAAAATGTTAATCTAAGATTAATATTTCAATTCTATCAAACTTATAATAAATAAACCTAATTAAACTGCAGCATTATCATTAAATCATTCCTTTTAATTCAATTTTTTTTTTTTTATAAATGATACTTCTTTCGAAAAAACTTTAATTTTTAAGCAGTTCAAAAAAAAAAAAAATAAAACTTAGTTTTCAAAAAAAAAAAACACTATTATCTTTTATGTAATTAATTCTATTTTAAAATTTGTTATTTTGAAATGTTTGTAATGTCTAATAGCATTGATTGGTTTTATAAAAATGCTTAGTGATAATTAAATATATTATACAAAAATTTTCATTTCATCCTTTAAAGTACATTTTAAGTTATAAATAGAATTAATTGCATATTTTAAATATTCTGTTTGTCTTACAGTATGATCAAAAAATAAAAAATAAAAAATAAAAATAAAGTAACTTATGTTTTCAAAATTGATTCCAATTATGTAACTTCAAATATGAACTTTAATTTAAGGAATGAATTTTGATTATTTATAATTTTCTTTCTTTTTTTTTTTTTTTACGTCATATAAAGAGAAAATGAAATTAACGTAATACACGGCATTAAACGTATTAAACGTGATATATTTAAACATTTCTTTTTATCATTTTGTAAAATTTTATTTATTTAGATTACTTCAGATTATTCAATTTAACAAATATTGATTAATCAGAAAATTTCTCTACGTCATTTTTCTAATGAATGGCTCGAGCGCCAGGCTCAGTCTCATACGTAAGTTTATATTTTCTCTTAATAAGTTAAAAATTTGTTTCTGTTATAATTTATTTATTTAAAATGAAATAGTAATTTTATAAAATTGATAAATGTTTTAACAAATATTTAAGATTGATTAGCGTATTTATAATTATTACAAATAAAATTTCGTATAAAATAAAATTTCATTTAATTGTTAAGTGTTACGTTTAATAAAAATGATTTTCTGTTAAGGACCGTACATACCGAAATGTATTTTTTAAGAGAATTTCAATAATTGGAAATATTTTAACTGAGATATAAAATTACGACAAATTTTCCTCCATTCAATTAAAATTTTAGAAACAAAAAATTAAATTTATTGCGAGAGAGAGAGAGAGAGAGAGAGAAAGAGAAAGAAATTGTTGTGTCTTTTTTTTCCTCAAATTAACATTTAAAATATTCCTTCTTTTATTTTTTTTTTTTCAATCTTAAAATAACTTTTAAAAAAAGAAAAAATTAACTAACATAACAAAACTTGCCGCCTAATTTTTTAATCTTCTAAAACTAATTTTTCGACTTGTTGAAATAACTTTTCATCACTACCATCAATTATGCCAGCAACAGTAAAAATATTCTTAGCAATAAAATTTGCACTTTAATTTTTTAATTTCCAATATATATACATATTACTTATTCGAAATGAAATTATTTATTAATGAAATTATGTTTAGAATGATCAATTTTAACAAATTTAATTTTTTATAAAAATTTTTTTTTCGAACTCATTTAAATTATAACATATTTCGAATTTTAATCATATTATTTCTTTCGTTTCTTTTTTTTTTTTTTCTCGTAATATTTTGATAAAAAAATTTTTAACATTTTTTTTTTTTTTTAGGTCATTAAAACGATTGAGATTTCTTTGGGAATATCATTTGAGAAAATATATTTTAGCTGGTCTTTTGCGCTGATATCTCTTTTTCATCAATTTGATAGCTTTTTTTTTTTTTGCCTCATTGTAAAGTAATGTATTATTTAAAAATTTCATTCAATAAATAATCCAAAAACACACTTAAAGCATTCTTTTATTTTCTTCTCTTTTATATTTTTTTTTTCTTTTTAAAATTTAAATTCATACTTTAAAAATTTTTTCGATCATTTTCTTTGGTTCAAACAGAAATTTATATTTCTGTACAACAAGCAAATCTATGAATGTAAGTTGTGCATTTTACACAAATTTACTTTTGAGAAAGAAAAGAAACTTTTTTTCTTCCTAAAAGTTTTGCAGATTTTTTCTAAGATTAATAAATTTCTAATGTTCGAAAAGAAAAAAGTTTACAAAAAAAAAATATTTGTTTAAAATTTCATTTTTGCCAATTTACAATTTTCTCCTATTTATTTTCAACTTCTGCTCAAATTTATTCACTCAATAATTATTTGAATATTTGAAATTAGCAAAATTTTCAGCTGATATTAAAAAAAAAGAAAACATCAATCATTTCGTTTGAAATATGAAATTTTAATAATCTGTTTGGAATAGTTTGCCGAATTACTACTGTTATTCATTTATCAATCGTTAAAATTAGATATTTCAACTGATCAAATTGCATGAAAGTAATTTGCATTTGAAATTTTAAAAATATTTGCATACTTTTTAATTTGCATTTGAAAATTTAAAAAATTTTATCAAAGAAAATTGTTTAACAAAAATTTTAAATTTATATAATTTTATTGCATAGAAACATATATTTACTTTTCATTGCAAAAGAAGTAGAAGGAAGAAAAAAGGAAAAAAAAAAAAAAAAAAACTAAGGAATCAGCTATTTTTGAAATCAATTTTATATATTATCTTGAAATTTCTTCTACTCTATAAAGTTTTTTCGTATTAGACTTCGCTAATTATCTTCCACGGCGGAAAAACGATGATTCAATGATGCAAAAAGTTCGACATTTACTCTTCGTAGCTTTTCACTAAGTTTTAAAAAGTATTATAGCCGACTTTATTTCATTTAACTTACATTAAAATTGTAATTTAAATTGAATTTTCATGAAGCGAACTTCGTTTCAATGTTTATTATTTGACCATAGACAAATTTATTATTCAAATTAGTGAATTATGATTTCAAGAATTTGAATTTTAAAGTAAAATAATAATTTTTTAAATTAAAAAAAAAAAAAAGAAATGAACTAAATCTACGTAAGATCGCTTATTTATATCAATGTATATTAAATATGTGTTAAATTTGTTGGTTTATTTACTAATTTATTAATTTCACAGTAAAGAAAGCAAAACTTCAAGAATGACTTCCTTCGCAGATGTTAAAAGCTCAATGAAAAATTAAAAAGTTAAAAAATAAAAACTTAAAGAGATGTATTTGTATTAATTGAAATCTTTTAATTTCAAATCAATAAATCTTGCAGTTCTTTCTTAGCTTATATATAAATAAATTTATTCAAATTCAAAGATACAAACGAATGTTTGAGGATAATGAAAAGTTATATAATTTAATAATAAATATTGTTAAATTCAAAAGTTATAAAATTGCTCCAATTAAAATCAGTCTTTAATTTTCATTCCATTAATTACATTCAAAAAACAATTATGCTTTAATTAAGTAATTTGTTAAAATTAAAAAAAAAAATTGTTTTATTAAGTAATTTATTAAAATGAAAAGAAAAAATTTATTAAAATTTTTTGCAGAAATATCAATTCGGCTGCAGCAAAAATCAAAATATTTAATTTTTATCACAAAAAAATAACTTTAATCAAATCAAGTAAAGCTAAAAAAAGTAACAAATTTTAGCATTTCAATTACACATGAATAGCATAATCTTTTTGCAGATAATTAGTATGGACTGATAATGAATTTAGTTAAATAATTTATATCTAATTGTTTGTACTCTCGAGAAATCTTCTTATAATTGTTTGTCCTCTCGAGAAATCTTCAATCATAAACTTACTTGCATGCGTCAAATTTGATATTTTCTGAGAATAAACATAACAAATTGCAAATGTATTGAAGAAGAAAGTATTTTCACTTTTTCAAGCTAAAAAGAAAGAAAAACCTTTCATGCATAATACTTTAATACAAAATTGAATAGTTGAATTTTCCTTTAAAAAAAAAAAAAAAAAAAAAAAAAATAAGAAACAGAAATTGAATGTAAAAAAAAAAGAGCTAAAAAATTATTAAATTAGAATATTTCAATTTACGAAAACTTTTTTGAAAATCAAATCAAATGCAAATAAGTTTGAATTTATTTTTCTTTTTAATGCAATCAAAAAAAAACAGAATGAGAGTTTTTATTTCCTCCCAAAAAAAAAATTGATCAAATATTTAATTCCATTGGATGATTTTATGATAAAAACTAAATTTGTCAAATTCTAAATGCTAATTTAATTTGGTCATTTATTGACTGAGTTAGTTAAATTTTATAAATTTATCGTTTTTCAAATGAAATGGTATTGTATAAATATATTTTCGAAATTTTTGATGTAATAAATTTTATTTATAAACACATGAAAGAATTATCTTTGACATTGTAAAGACGTATTCGAAATTCGAAATACCTTAATAATTTGATACAAAATTTATGATAGAAAAAATGCATCCAACGTTACAAAATTATTTATTAATTTAATTTTTATTAGTTATTAATTTCATTTTCAACTTTTTACGAACTTTTTTCTTTTGATTATTACTTCAATTTTTAATTTTTCTATTAATTACTGTTTCAATTTTTAGTTTCTTCCTCTCTCTCTCTCCTTCTCTTCTTTTTCTTTTCTATTTCATTTTTTTTTTTTTTTTAAAGAATTAATAATATTTTAAAACTTTTACAATTTTTATTTTAGAAACGAAGCATTATTCATTACATGCTAAACTACCATATAGTGTGGAAGTTGAAAAATTATATCAAGATGATGCGGTATGGATTACTACCAGTAGTTTCATCATTTTTACTATGCATTCTGGTAGGTAAATGTTCTCATATTTAAATTATTAATTTTTTTTTTTTTTTAAATTGTTAAATTTTATAAAATTTTCATAGATTTAAATTAATTTTTAATAAATTATAATGTGATAAAAGTGTGTGAATATTATTTTAATATTTTTATTTGTGGCAAAAAAAAAAATTCATTCCTAAAATATTTTTAACTTCTTTGGCTTACACTATTATATTGTAAATATTAAATGAACAATAGAAATAATGAGAAAATAAGAAGTGGGAGAAATAATTTTGAAGATTAAAACTATAATTTCTTGCTAAAAATTCCAGTTAAAAATAAAATTTATGAAAGTTAAAAATTTTTTTTAAATTTATTAATAAGTAATTTTTTTTTTCTTATTTTAGGTTTTGGATTATTAGAAAGTGGTAGTGTGGCAGCAAAAGATGAAGTAAACATTATGGTGAAAAATGTTGTTGACGTCGTCTTTGGTGGCTTAGCTTATTGGGCATTTGGTTATGGACTGAGCTTTGGTAACGGACCATACAGTAATGCCATCACAGGATGGGGCAAATTTTTTTATAATCCTCAAAGGTTAGTTTCATTTTCAAAATAAATTTCAAATTTTATAATAGAGAATTAAACTCTTTGTATATTGTAACAAAATTATATTATAAATTATAAAAATTTTTGAAAATAAAATTTATTGAGAATTCAATTTATTAAAACAAATTCATATCATTTATAATAATTATTTGTGTATTTAATCATTTGCTCTTTAGTAAAATGTTAAAATGTCTGAAGCGAAGATCAGATCGAAATTATCTTTAGTTCCTTCTTTTTTTTATCACTGCTTTTTTATCACTACTTATCGTTGTAACAAAACTTTCTATTTTCTTTTCACTATCAAAATGTTTTACTATTTTTCAATTGTTTTACTTTTTCAATCAATAACTTTCGTTCAGTTTATAATATTTAAAAAAAAAAAATAATAATCAAATTAAAAAAGCAAAGAAAAAAAAAGACGAAAAAAGAAAAATCATCGACGTAGATGTATTGTTTCATTTTTGGAACCAATTAGCGATTACTTATTTATTCGAGAATGAAAGCAATTGATAATTCCCTACTTATCACAGAATGTAATCATTGACAATTACTTACTTATCTGAGAATGAAACCAATCAGGCGATTATTTACTCATTCGAGAATGAAACAATTTGAAACATTGGAGCAAAGTTTTTTTTTTGTTTTTAAATTAACTGATAGACTTATGAAAATATTTTTATGTATTATAAATTTTTGAATTTTTTTGCAATAATAATCATTTCAAATTTGATCTGTGATCATTTAATGTTTTCATTCTATTTTATCTATTCCTATAACATATCTTACAATAAATAGCGCACCTTATCATATCATATCATTCTACTTATCATTTGATAATAAATCCTATTGCAAAAATAAAAGGTTGGAAGGAATTACTGATTAAAATGAAAATTTTGAAATTTAAAAATAGAAAATTTTTTTTTCTTCAAATAAGTCCTCAAATGTGATCAATATTTGATGCAATTAAAAATGCCTCATTGTTATTTTTGAAAGGAATTAATGATATGTTTTAATCATTTGAATAGATTGTGCAGCACATTCTTATGATAATAAAAAAAAAAGATGTATCGGTATTTGATATATGAAAAATTGAAATATTGGAAAGGAAAAAAGTGAAATTGACGAAATGAAAAAGACATTGCATTTTAGAATATGAAAAATTTCTAATTTAAAATATAATTTCTAAGAAATAATTTTAAAAGTTAACGCTGTGTTATTGATTATAAACTATTTCATTATTAAGAAAAGGTGAAGAAAATGGCTCAGCAGAATTTTCAATTTTCAGAATTTCAAAAAGCTTCAAGAATTCATAAGTTATAAGTTTAAAATTTTCATTAAACTATCTTCTTATCATTCCACTACTTTTTATCTGATAAGTGAAATCCTTAATATAAATTTATCAATTCCAGGGACTTTGATTCCCCACGTGATGAAGGCTGGGCTTATGCAAATTTTCTATTTCAGCTTAGTTTTGCAACAACCTCATCAACAATTGTTTCTGGTACGGTTGATATATTTTTTTTTATCAAATTCTGTCCCCAAAAAAAGAAAAAACACAGAAAAAAAAAATTCTATAAATTTAGTGATATTAAAATTAGTAATTGCTTAATTTAAATAAGAATTTAGATCTAAAAACAAGTTTTTCTTCTTTTTTTTTTTGAGCAAATTTTTTGTTTTCTTTTTTATTTCTAAATTCAATGAATGAAAATCTTTCGTTTTATTAAACTTTTATCTTTAATAATTAATAATTTTTCGATGAAATTTTGATTTTATTTCAAAATTATAATTTTAAATTTTCAGGTGCTGTAGCTGAACGTGCCAAACTCAGATCATATATTTTATTGGGTTGTATTGTAATTCTAATACAAGCATTACCTTCTCATTGGGTATGGGACAGTCAAGGAGTGTTTTTCAAATTAGGCGTCGTTGACTTTGCTGGCTGCTCATGTGTAATTCATTTGTTATTATTATTATTACTATTATTATTATTATTATTATTATTACTATTATTATTATTATCATTATCATTGTTATTATTAATTATTATTGTTATTAAATAAAAAACAACAATTGAAAATATTATCAAAAATATATGAATTTAATGTGAGAACAATTGCGTATAGTGCAGAACATACTAATTTTATGTAAATATCGTAGTAATTACTTTCATATACTTTTGCACAATTTTTAAAATATTTACAAATGAAGCAAAAAAAGAAAGTATCAATGGATAACTGATGAAAAGTACAATTGAGAATATGAAAGTAAAAAGAATTAACAAGAAAAAATTGTCAAATATTACCACATTAACTCAGTCAATAGCGCATTAACTCTGTCAATAGCGCATCATATTTTTAATCAACTTTCCTTTGTACAGAATGTATTATTAAGACGAGAAAATATTGTCAAATTTTAATTAAATTTTAGATTCATATGGTTGGTGGTATCATTGGGTTAGTAGCTACCATTTATTTGAAACCACGACGAAATCGATTCAATGAAAATTCGGTGCATCAAATGAGCTCACCAACAAATGCGCTTCTTGGAACTTTTATGCTTTGGTGGGGTTGGTTCGGAATTAATTCTGGATCAGCTTGGGGTGTCACAAATGGTCGTTGGCGACTTGCAGCTAGGTTACATTCATATCTGATATTTCATTTATCAAGAGTTAAATATCAGTTATCTCAAAAAAAAAAAAAAAAAAACGGATATTAGAAAAAGTTGAACTAATGACTACAGCATGAACGATTAAACTTCAAATCCGGAAATGATGCAATATTTTTCTATAAATTCATCATATCATCTGGAAAGATGTAAAATTATTGAAAAAAAAAAACATGAAAAGTGTTGAAAGCATTTTTGCATTTTTGAGCTAAGAAGCAATTTACTTTAAAGCATTTATCATTTCCTCAATTTAAACATTGGAATTTAGTTTTGAGAAATATTAAACATTTTTTTATAGGGAACCGAGGGAGAGAGAGAGAGAGAGAAGGAGAGAGAAAAAAAAAGGAAAGAAATTTGAACAATTTGAATTAAAGAAAAAAAAAAAAAAAAGGAGGAAAGAAATATTTTAGGGCATCGGTGGCAACAATAATGAGTTCAATTGGAGGTGGTGTCACATCAATTACATTCAGTTTTGCTAAAACAAGAAAATTACAAGTTAATTATTTAATTTTTGGTTTACTCTCTTCAGTAGTTGCAATTACAGGTTAATTTTTTTTTTTTTTTTTTTTTTACTGATTTTGCATTACATTTAAATATTCTATCAAAACTGTTTTTTTTTTTTTGAATTCAAAGTGTTTTAATTAATTTTTAATTGCAATTATTCGTTTAGCTAAAATTATTTATAGTTTAAAATAATATTTGGTTAACAATAATATCTTACTAAAGGAAAAATTGAAGTTTATTAATCTATTTAAAGAAAAAATATCAAAAATATTAGAAAATTTTTTGATTTCTTCGATCAAATTTATTTCAAATTCCTTACAATTCTAATGAAAAATTTTTTTCAAAAGATATATTAAAACAATTTATCAATTTCAAATTAAAATTTTCCAATGTTTCCTACAAAAATAACAGGAAGCTCAATTTTTGAAACAGTTCATTTCATATAGCAATTTGCGCCGTTGCACGACCCTGGCATGCATTGCTGATCGGTGCAATTAGTTCAACCATTTCTATCTCAGTAATACCGGCTCTGGAATTTTTGAAAATTGACGATCCGGTTGGCATTATACCAATTCATCTTACATCATCCATATGGGGTATGTGCGCAGTTGGTATTTTTGCTGAAGACGATCAAGTGCTGGTATGTATAATTTCATCAGACAACGTTTTATTTATTTTTCAAAAAAAAAAAAAAAAAATTTGTTTAAATTTTCAAAGCTAATCAATAATTCAATAATATAAAAGAGGCAATGATAGTTTGATAATAAGTAATAATGCTTAATGTTTTGTATATTTATCAATTATTATTAAAATTATTACCTGAAATTTAGGCAGTAACAAGTGGACATTATGGTTTGATATATTCGGGAAGTTTTAAATTGCTTGCAATACAAATGCTTTGCACAATAACTATTCTCGTTTATAGCGCTATCGCCGGACTTCTTGCCCTAATTGTAATTTAATTTCAATTTTTCTTTCATTTCCTTACTTTTTTTTTTTTTCTTATTGTTTCTTTGTTTTAATTCAATGAAAATATTATTGCTATCGTAATATTTCCAATTATTATATTTTCCATGCAGTAACATTAATCCCAAATTAATCAATCATTTCTTTCTTTTTTTTTTTTTTTTTTTTGCAGATTTTGGGTAAAAGTCCTCTTGGAATACGGGTTACAGATTACGAGGAGCAGATTGGCGCTGATGTCGTAGAACATGGTTTAGCTGGTACAAATATTGCTCGATATCATCTTGAAAAGCCTTTATCATCAAAGTTTGTACAAATATTATATTTAATTATTAAATCTTTTTATCTTGACATATCATACTAAAATATACAAAAAAAAAAAAAAAAAAAGGAAAAAAAATTAAATCATTTTATTAATTAGAATAAAATTTTGAATTTGTCGTTGTTTCTGTACAGAACTTTTGCGACTGTTACAAAAGCAATAACAAAATGGAAAATTCAAACACGTACTAATCGAGCATTACGTCAACAAAATGCTGCACTTGGATATCGACAAGAATCGGATAGTGGTACTATGCTGATGAGACAACGTAAAAATAAACTTTCTAACGGTGGTAAGTTTAATATCTTAAATTGATTCATTAAAATTTGCATATGATATTTTATAAGTAATTGGTGGCATTTTATTCACTGATATTTATTACAACTTTTCATTGATTTATTTCTAATTTTTAGCATTCTTTTCACTAAGTCATCATATTCGTTCACGCAACTCACCTTCACGTACAAAAACGTCTACTACGCCAGCAATATCACTTTCATCAAACTTTTCGAAAGAAACTAATCGACGTTCTATGCCACCGTTTAGGAAAAAAGAAGATAATGTTAAATGTGTAAAAATCAATGAAATAGCAGCATTTACTTCAAAACGACGGATGGAGGAGGAAGATGAAAAAGTAAACTTTAAATAGTTAATGACTTTTACATCGAATTGCACTTTCTTTTTTTTTTTTTTTTTAAAAAAAAAATTTATAATTAATAGATAAAAGAAATGAAAGAAATATTTCTCATAATCTTTTGGACAGTATAAAATGAAAGATTTTTCGAATTTATTTCTCAATTTTAGCAAAAAGTTTTATACTGAAACAAATAAGAAACATAAATTATTGATTGGAAAAAAGATGAAAGCGTTAAATTTATATTTTAATTGTTAATTTTAATTATGCTTTTTTAGTCAAAAAAAAAAAAAAATTTTTTTTTCTTTTGCTGTAATGAGAAATAGTGAAAAGTGAAAAATTCAATGAATTATGAAGTTAAAATTTCTTTGAAAAGTTGAGAATAAATTAAATTAATCTATTCTTATTAGCATTTTCTAAAAAATGTTTACTTTTCAGAATCCAAATTGCAGTAAAAGAACACAGTCAAATTTTGTTCCAATGTTGGATAGGTTTAGCAATAATATCAGTGGTACGTTAAAGTCATTGAATCCAGATCAATTACGACTTGATGTAAGTAGTGGATCAGCACAAGAAGCTGGTAGATCATTAGATCATAATATTGTGTCCGAAAGAAGGGTACTCCAATATGTGACACCAAATATAGATTCAGGGAGTGCAACCAGAATTGTTACTTCTGCCACATCGTGTAGGAATAAAATTTTACCATTAATTTCGGATGCTGTTTAGTTTTTTTTTTTTTTTTGAAATATTGAAAATTTTATATTCGAGAAAGAAATGTTAGTTTTGGAAGAAAAAAAAATAGGATAGTAGCAATGGGATTCAACTCAAAATAACGTAGATTTTACAATTTTTCTTTAAATTTATCAAAAAGCGCTTTACTTTAAGGTTAGCTATGATAAGTAAGTAATAAAATGATCCAATATACATTTTTTCTGATTAATTTCAAAAATTAGTAAACTTTATTTCAGCTACATTCCTTTTAAAATTTTAAAAATTTCACAAAAAAAAAAAAAAAAAGAAAACAAAGTTACATCTGTGCCATTGTCAAATTGATCGTGCCAGCAATACCAATCATTTGTTATAGTCAGAAATCGGAATTTGTTATGAAAACTGTATTTGTTAAAAAATGAATTATAATCCGATGCAAAATTGTTTTGTTGGTATTGCCGAAATTTTAGGATTGATTTTCTGAAAATTATTATTTTGAAATTCATTTTTTTTTTTTTTAAATTCATTTATCATGAATTATTTTTGAATCAATAAAGTTATTTTGCAACAATAAAGCCATTTTCAGCATTTTTTTTTTAATGTGTGTTTTATCATTACAGTAATAAAATTACTAGTATTTTACATAAATTTTAAATAAAATATTTTGTTAAACGTTTCTATTCCAAATTTTTATTTCTTTAAATATTTTACACTTTGAAATTTGAAAAAAAAAAATTAATCGAGTAAATTAATTTTTAAAGATTATGTAAGTTAGTAAGTTGAAATTATGTAAGTTAATTTTTGAAGATAACTCTTTGACCTACCATTTAACTGTTAAATTTTATTCAATCTTCATTCTGAGATTATAAGCATACTTAATTTAAACGCTTTATCACTTTGCTAGAAATTTTACTCAGCTATGATTACTTTATCGAGAATGCTTCAAGAAAAGTATTTTTGTAAGAAGACAATCATTTTTTTAAAAAAAAAAGAAAATTTATATTCAGTTTGAAATGTATTTCGTATCCATCACTTTATGTACAATTTTAGGTTATCATTTAAATTCGCTGATAAGAAATAAAAAAAAAAAAAAAACTCGGATTACTTTTTAAAAAACTTTTTTTAACTGAATTTATCAAGTAAGGAAGGAATTGTATTTCAAATTATCTCCATTCAAAATCGAGAATTTTAGAAAATTTTGAGAGTTAAAAATAGAAAACGCAGCGAGTCAGATTCAACCAATTTAGGAATCAATTGTTTTATTTTAAAATTTGTCATCTGCTAATAGAATTCTGGAAATCTTAAAACTGCCATTTTAAATTTAAACAGTCATTTGAAATATTTCGCAAATGAAAATAAAACTGAAATAATAAAGTATTCTGACAATGTCTTTTTTTGAGAATTTTTAAATTTCATTTATCATTTTTTAATGGTTCTATTTCAAATGAGATCATATGAATTCCATAAGCACTTCCGGCAAAAAAAATTTCAATTTTATTTCACTTTTTTCTTTTCCCATACACAAAGATCACTTTTGGAAATTTTATTGCTTTTTCATGAAATGCGCACAAATTCAAAAATAGTAAGTCTCAAATTAAACAAACAAAGAAAAAACAAATGATTCAACAACGATAGCAACAAAAAGAGATAAATAAACAAATATTAAATAAAATAAGCAAATGAATAAAAAACAAAATTAATTTTAACAGAAACATTTTCAAAAAAAAAAAAAACAAATAGCAATCATTATATAAAGGAAAATATAAAATGAAATGTACAAAAGAAATGTTTACATTATTTAATTTTTTTTTTATCACTTTTGATTCACATCTGTTCCTCTAACAGCAAATTTAAATTACTAATCAGTGGAATATTTTTTTTTTTTTTTTGATTTCAAATTATCAGTAATCTGATCAATACTAACAATAACATTTAGCATATATTTAGATTTTTCTTAAAATGTTATCAATATTTGAAATGTCTATAAATGCTTCCTTAGCAACGATAAGTTTGTAGCTATGAACAAAAACATCATTTTACTTTTAACAACGCTATTATTATCAAAGACAAAAATAAAATTTTTTCATTCTTCAACATATTTTATCTCTTTTAATCAATTAATTAACTCAAATTTTGAATGTAAAATTTTTTTCTTTTTATATTATTTCATAGTTTTCTATTCGTTGTATTATTAATGAGAAATTCATTTACTGTCAACTTTTTGTTATAATATTTTAATGTATTTTATTAAACTTTTATTTTGAAATTAATAATTTTGCACCAATAACCTTAGCTAATATCCGATGCTATCAATCTTATTGTTAAATGTTCAATAAAAACAAAAAAAAAAAAAAGGGAAAATGCAACTTATCTGTTATTAATAACTTCCTGTTATTACTTTCTATTGATCTAATTTTTAAATTAACAGCTGCTAGTGTTAAGTTAAAATTGTTTACTTAAATAAATAATGCATTATTTTTCATCATTTCATTTTCTTCAATCGATCTTATCAAAAATTTTTTAGATTTTCCCAAAAAAAAAAAAAAAAAAACACAAAAGATTAAATTAAATTAATTTGTTTACTCGTAAAATAAAATCAAAAAAAAAAAACTTTATTCTCTATTGATTAATTACCAAAATTTGGTTTTCGATTAATAATATGTTTATTTAAGTGAAGTAGCAAATTTGTAATTGTTGATAAATTCTTTTTGTTTATTTAAAAACTTTCACTGTTAAATGTGAAATTGATTTAATAAGTAATACGAAAGTAAAAAGTAGATAAGAATTTGAGTAAATCGGAAAACTTTTAAAATTTTGGAATTAAAATTTGATAATTTGCAAGCACTTTTTCCCAAAATGCATTAACTTATAATTTGCCTCTTTATCAATTTCCCAAATAAAGTATTAATCACCTTTCATTCCTTTTCAATCTTTCATGAATTTCTCGAATTTACTGCCGGAAAATGTCCTAAAAACTTCCATCAAAAAAAGATTGCAATCGATGACAATTTTAAAATGACACAATTTGAAATTTTAGAGTTAATCAACAACAAATATTTTTTAAACTCTTATCATTTTTAGTGCAATAATTTTCAAAAATTAGCCAAATTAGAAATTAGATTAGAAAATTCCAAATTAGAAAATTTTGGAAATGATATATTATGTGTAATCGTTTGAAATTTTTATAAGATTATAAGGAAGCGATTAAATAATAGCAATATTTAGCTATAAAATTTTTAAATCTTCTGATATGAAACTTAATTTTACCCAACAAACTTAAATTTAAAAAAAAAAAAAAATACAAAATATTATTGGTAAAAAAGTTGAAAAGCTAAATTTTGTCACATTTTCTTTTTTCATAAACAAATTAGACTTAAGTTTAACTTAATAATAAATTGATCTAACTTTAATATGATTAAATTCCACAATAAAATTATTTCGATACTTCCAAAACACTATTCTAATTCTTCTCGACTATTCTCGAAGAAAAAAAAAAATGTTGTAACAAAGGAGTTTTTGGTAGGAACAATTGAAATTTTGATGGATTGAAAAATGTATGTAAACAGATATTCATCCCGAGAAATACCAACAGAAGCAAAAATCATCAATCATAGCTTTTCAAGGACATATGACTCATAAATAAACTAACTTGAAAAACATTGCTTTAATTAAATTTCAAAGTAAAAAATGCGAGCTGATTAATAGTTTGACATTTTCTCCTTTCATCTTTCTATCCTAAGTGATAATCACTTATCTAAATTTGAATAATAATTTGAGTATTTAATTTTTTTTTTTCACAAATGAATGAAAAAACTACAAAATTTACTAGAACATAAACTTAAAAAAAAAAACGGAAAAACGGAAAAACGGAAAGAAAGATGCTCTAACGAAGGATTTTTATAAATATTTGTTTAGAATGAAAGTTACAAGTAAAGTAATAAAAGAGAATTAGTTTAAAAATGAAGAGAAAAAGAAAAGATGAATGGTTGAGGAATGGAATGTATGTTTGATTTATGATTTAAATTTTTGACTAGTAAGCATCAGAGTTTAATTTGGAATATTTCGATGGATAAATGGAGATATGATGCAAAAGAGTGATAAGAGAAGCTATTAGGATGTGAAATGGAATGAAATATTAGGCTAAAACCAATAATACTGCTAATAATAATGACAAAAAGTTTTTAGGTTTAACTTTGGGTTGTCTAGTACGAAGAATTCTAAAAAAGTTAAGTATTGATGTTACTAAAAATAGTAATGCAAATTTTCTCTTTTTTTTTTTTAAAAAATAAAATATTAATTGAATATTTAAGTAATAAAATAATAGACTTCTTAATTCTTTGCTTTTTCGCCTTTCTTTTTTTTTTTTTTTAATAATTTTCTGCAATATTAAATGATTGAAATCAGAAATTAGTGATAGCTTCTAATCATTTTACTTATTATCATTTCAGATAACAGTTGGTTATTTATGCATTTATTAATTTCAGTGTATCAAATTTCTTGTGTAAAATTTATATTTGTCAAATTTACTCCAATTTGCATTTTATGTTGTTCTAATTCGCAATTATTATTCTCATTTTAATACGCTATTTAGAAAGTTTGCTTTATTAAGAAGACTGAACTACTTACTGACCATATACGGTTGACAATATTTTCCTGTCTCATTGATCAGTTTTTAATCCGATATGTAAATATTTGTGGAATATTTATTCAATAAAGACATCAATTGTTATTTAATGTTTTCATGTTAAATCAAATATTTCCATCATCGTTAAACATACATTTCATTCATTCTTTTTTTGTCACAATTCTAAATTTTCTCATTTCACAATTTTATATTATTTTTCTGGGACAAATTCAATTGATTTTCCTGAAGCAACAAAGTGATTTTTTATCATAAATTTAGTAAAATCCGATTGAATAATGCTCAAGCAAAATTCAGATCAAAATTTATTCTTCAATTCGTATTCTGTAAATTTTCTACTTCAAATAATCACTTCTTTCAATTTAATATTATCATAGTTTATTGTTTATCCGTCTATTAGTAGCAATTTAATTATGCTACTATTGATTATTGATAATCAATTCAAGAGGTTTTATTCCAATTATTGATTAGATAACTGATAATTCTCTAGCATTAGATTGGCCATGTATTTTTTGTCAACTACTTTTGGTTGACAATTTTTTTTTTATAGTTTTACTCTCATTCGGTTGTCGTTCAATATTTAAATTTTAAATGAAACATTTAATTGTCTTTCATACTGAATATCTACAATGAATTTCTATTTCTGATTATTGAATTCTGTTTTGCCACAATTTTTCATATCACCAAAAAATTTTCCTTTTTTTTTTTTTTTTCATTTTTTGGATTTGATATAAATTAGAATTAATAATTAGAAGAGTAGAATTGAACAATTAGAAGAATAACAAATTTTAGGGAAGAGAATATGGTAGGGAAATGACCTGTTCAACTGTCAGCTCAAATTAGGTCATTCATGATAATTAATAGTCCATTCACATTTGTCATAATAAATAGCACATTTTAAGAGTAGTCAATTAAGAATAAAAGTGCAAAATTTATTTATATTATGAAATGAATCGAATTTTTTTTTTCTCTTTTAAATGAAATAATTAATAATTGTAAAAGAATCGAATGAAATCTTTATGTGACAAATGACAGATTGAATTACAGGAATAAACAAAAAGAAAAAACCAAATGTGTTATATCACGGATTTAACGTGAAAAGTAGTAAAAAGCTGAATTGAATTTTTTTTTTTTTTTTTTTGAAATTTCCACCAATGAAATTATGAAAATATATATATATTCATGGAATGAATGATGTATTGTCATAAATTATTAAATAAGAAATTTATTTCAAGAATAAATGAACTATCAAATGTTAACAACGAAATGTATTGCTTTTGCAGCTTTCATCTGTAAATAATAAGTTGGTAATTTAAGCAATAAAATGATAAATATTATGCAAATAAATCAGAATTTGCATTGCTAAAATGCATTTTCATATTTTTGATCAATGCGACAGTAAAAGCATACCGTTATTGGGTAATAAAAGGCTTAAAGGATAAGGTACCACCGGAAATATAGAACTCGTTAACTGAATTGATATATTGAAATGAAAAGAGGTGTATTTCGATAGAAAGAAATTTGATAATACACAAAAATAGTTTGCAACAGATTCAGAAATATATTATAGTAATAAACCAACGACGAATGTGATCGAACCAACATAGTCAAAATGATAAAAGTATAATAATTTTTACAATATTTGCTAATATGAATGAATGAATGAAATGAAATGAGAATGGTGTAAACAAAAGTTATTCGTTTCATCGTTTGTAATAATGCCAAAGGATGAATGTATGATTGTGATTTGTTGCCATCGTTAAGTTACAATTTCTACTAGATGTCAATATATGCATCTATTGATTTTGATCAATTAATTTAATCGATTTTATTAATTAAATTAATTATGTAATGATTTAATTGTTGTATAAAAATCAATAAAATTTAATCATCAAAATTTTTCCTTTTCAAAAAAGTTATATTCAAACTTTTAGAACACATTTATAATTTTCTTGCAGCATCTGTTTGGTCGCATTATTTATAAATTCACACACCATTTCACCATAGTCATCGTATCGTTCACATTTTAGAGTTAAAAATTTCTTTTTTTTTTTTTTTTTTTTTTAAAGTATTGATTTATTTGAATGCAACTTCTTGATTACCATTATTAATTGTATTCTATGAAAGATTTGTTTTATTAAATCATACTAATTTATCTTCTGATTGTTAGCAATAATAATTCAATAATCTTTTTAAAGGATTATAAGTTATCATTTTCAGATATTAGCCATATTTACTATAAGTTTACTTGTTAAATTACTAATTTAATTTATTTCTTAAAATTTCTTATTTATAAAATTTTAATTCTTTTTTTTTTTTGCAACATTTGCTCGCACTAAATATACATAAAACTTTACAAATCATATAGCATTTCGGTTAATTTTTCTTCTTACAGTGTATATTGTCAAATCTTTTGAAAAGTCACAAAAATTTTTTCATTTTTTTTTTTTTTAATTTCTATTCTTAAATGAAAAATTTAAGATAGTTGTTCGAACAAGATTCTATGGTAGAAACGATATTCTTTTCTTATTGCACAGGAAAAAACTAAAAAAAAAAAAAAAAAAAACAAAAAAATGGAAAATAAAATAATTATTTGACAGAATTACTAATTGAACAAAAAAAAAAACTTTTAATTGATCAAATTTATCAGAGATATGTTTGTTTTTTTGCGAATGATATTATCATAAAATAGTTGATAAGATGGATAACTATTCGATTCTTTCGAATTTCTTTTTTTTTTTTTTTCTTGGTTAGTATTGCTGAAGTAAACTTTTATTTAACATTGAAAAGTTAAAATGTTTTATATCTACTCAATCTACTTACATCCACATTAATTTAAACAAGAAATTATTTCAGAAAAAAAAAAAAAAAAATCCAGTTTTGGAAAATTTTTGAAAATCTACAGCAGTGGTTTTTCAAGTTTGAAAATTAGTCTTAATAACTGGCTGTAAAAAATTACAAATATAATGATATTTGTATTAAACATCTTTAACATACCTGAATTTTCTTTTTTTTTTTTCTTCAAAAGATTTAAGATTAACGTTGTTGAAATTTGAAATTCGAATTTGTATGTTGAAATTAATAATTTCCGCTTTTATCGCTTATTGCATATCATTGACTGTGTGCATTTTTGCTATAATATAATCAATTATTTCTATTAAAATTAAATCTCTTCGAAGTATTTAAATTAATGTTTACAAAAACTTTTGAATTTCTTTTCGATTTGGCAAAAACTTTCAGCGTGTTTAAAATCATAAAAATTAATCGTTTCTCTATAAATAGTATTGCTTGCCATAAATTTCAAATTTAATCATTTTTAACGTTTTTTATTTTCAAAAGTTATTATAATTTATTATTAAATGAAATTTTTAAGACTTGAAATGGATAATTTCAGCATTATTCGATGAAGTTTTTCAAATCGTTTAATTTGTATTTCGTTTCATATTTCTATTTACTTTAACTATATGTGCCGAATATTTAGGTTTTTATCGATTCGTAATTAATAAAATGAAAGAAAAAAAAAAAATTGAGGAATTAATTAATAAGATTAAACAGCTATATAGAAAGGAATATGGGAAAGAATTGATCAGTGATATATGATAAAAGTAAATATTGCATATCTAATTAATCATTCATGATTGCTTGCTATCAGATAAGAAGATTGTTGATAATTAATGGCACTAAAATGCTAATCATTGATCCTCTTAGTTGTGAATTACATTTCGATGCTAAGTGGTTATTATTTAATATTTAAGCAATATTAATGTTTCATTTTAAATTTCATATTAAAATTATTTATCAGTTCAATGAGTGCAATTAATTTACTTTACAGTGTTTCATTTCTTTCACTTTTTAAATTCTCTTTTAAACGATAGCTATATTTGAATGTTTTAATCAGTATTAAAATTATATAAATATATGTTCTGAAATTAAGAGCAAATAACAGAGTTGCATAAAAGTTAATTAAAATAAAAGGACATTTGCGAAGTTTAATTTAATTTGCACTTATTCTTCAATATATTTTTACATTATCAACTAGCATTGGTCGATTAAATTAACTATGCTTCAAATGGCAGGAAATAATAAATTAAATTTACTGAAATGTTATTTTTAGTAATAAATGAAGCTATAAATAGGTATTTTGGTCAAAGGTTACTGATAATATTTATCACTGAGTCGTTTAATACTGTAACTATAACAGTTCAATCATATGATTTTAACAAATATATCAACAGTTATGCTCAAAGATTAAATTATTCAAACATTTATAGCTATTTTTCTCGATGTTTAAATAACATTTTCATTATTTAATTTGAATTATTATTATTTAAGTAAAAAATGAAATAATTGAGTGATATTAATTAATGATTAAAACATTCACAATAATATTATTAATGATCTGTTTGAGAATGAATTTTATTACTTTACTAGTAATGTTATTTATTTGCTTTTCTTTCTTTTTTTTTTTTTTTTTTTTTTTTTTTTTAGTTAGCTGTTAGCTGAAATGATTGAAAATATGAAAAATGTTAAAAATTTTAAGGTCGACAATGTGAAATAAAAGGTCCCAAAAGGAAATAAAAATGTCACATTCAGTAATTTTGTTATTACAATAAATTAAAAAAACTTTAGAGTATGTAAAATATTCGAAATCATTTATTACATTGGTTCATCAGTTCCTTCTCTTGCGTTTGTTAAACTTGTACTTTTACATTTTTTTTTTCTTTTTTTTTTTTAAAAAAAATTCTTTTAAATTTTCATTTACTTTTACTTCAAATACCAAAAGTATTGAAAGTATTGTAAATTAAACATTTTTGAAAAAAAAAAAAAGCATTTTATCACAGATATATCTGATATAATTTTCTTAACTCGTTATTTTGTTTACATTTTTTTTTTTTTGTTTGTTCAAAAAAAGAAGTTTTTTTTTTTTAAAAATAAAGTAAGAAAAATAAATTAAAAAATTAAGTTAACAATAATTTCACTATAACAAAAGATTGATGAAATAAATAATAGTTGATAGGAGTGAGTAAAAGGTATAATATTATCAGAATAGTTCCAGCAATTAATTTTTCAAAAATTTTAATCTTAATTAAAAATTTTTCTCTTCTTGCTAGATTCTATTTTATTAAATTTGCTAATGATGAAATAAGCGTATTCGTTATTGAGTAAAATCATTAAATTTAGCAGTTTAAATTTCAATTCTTTTGATTTTTAGAAAGAGCTAACTTAAATATAACACAGAAACGGTAAAGATGGAACACGTAGCAACGAAAGTGGAAAACAATACTACAACAACTGTTGCTAATGGACCGGTAAGTAATCATTTTGATGATAAAATGCTTTGAAAATTTCACAAATTTTGATAATTCTAAAATTTTAACTTTGTTTTTTTTTTTTTTTTTTTTTTTTTTTTTTTTAAATTTTGACTTCAAATTGTCTCATTGTAGAATTATCCTATAATTGCAGTAAGAATTATTATTTGTCTCATTGTAGAATGATCCTATAATTGCAGTAAGAATTATTATTGAATTTTGCGTCAAAAAAACTTTGAGCTTGAAATTAATGAATTTGAAAACTAAATTGATAATTTCTATATCTGAATATCATATTATTTATATATAAGAATTTGCAATATTTTTTAAATAAAATTAGATAAGAAGCGAATTTTAGATATCAACCAGAAATGTAAATCGGCTCTTGGTATGCATTTCCGGTTAGCATAATAAATTGATTGATGCTAGTAAACAACCAATGGACAAATTTCATGATGAGAAATTTACAATTCATTACTTTCCGTAAATAGACGTTACGTCAAACTGATCAATTGATTCCTTAGAAAAGCATAAATTCTTCTATCTGCCAGATGTGAACTTTTTAGAAATTATCTGGGAGAAGCATCATTTCACTCATTTCACTCTCACTCATACGAAATAGTTTATTTAGAACTTTTAATTCTACCAAATGTCTTCTCATCCTCTATGATTCATTTTTTTATCTCAAAACTTTGTTTGAAATTTTTGTGTTTTTATATAAATATATCTTTTTTTTTTTTTTTTTTAAGTTTTCTTTCAATTCAACTTTTTGCACTTCATTTATCTAAAAAAAATTTAGAAATTCTGCTGACTTATGATCTTCCATTTTATTTTAATTTAGCACTTTAAAAACTTTGTGAATTAAAAACTAAAAATTGAATAGTAAAATTTAAAATATTGCAACAAAAATTTTTTTTTAATTTCGAGAATATATTGAAATGATTAGGAAAAAAAACAAAGAAAACAAATCAATATGCTTTTAAACGATGTAAGCTAATAGTGAAATATTCGTAGGTTTAGTCATAGAATAAATCGAAAAACAAAAAAAAAAAAAAAACAGTGCGATTTGACGGGGATTTTTGCGGGGAGACAAAAAAAAAAAAAATGAAATTTAATGGGAATTTTTGTAAGGAAAAAATGAAATTTATTGGGACTTTTTTTTTTTCAGTTTTTTTTATTTTCAAATACTTGAAAATAATTTTTTTTTTTCAATGAGATAAAACTAAAGAAAAAAGGAAAAAAAAAAAAGTTGCTGATCGTTTGATTCTTCCGTTTCTCACATCGATTCAATAATGAATACCTAACCGGTCTGAGAAAGAAAAAAAAAAAAAAAAAAGACGGAAAAGTTTGAGAATATTTGATAAATAAAGAAGTACGATCAATTTGCTTTTTTCTTTTTTCTTTTATTTTATAATTTTGAATAATTTTTTTTTTTTTGATAAATTGAGATAGAATTAATTTTTTACTTAATATTTCATTCGTTTTTTTTTTTTTTTTTTTTTTTCTGAAGAAATAAATTTATCAAATTTTATTGTAATGTATGCAATTTTGTTAGGTTTTGAAGAAATTTTTCTTTTTTTCTCCATTTAATTTACTTACATTTAATATTAATTATAAAATATTTGTGCTTTTTTAAATTCATTCATAATTTCACACTTTTTTTGTATGTTTTTTCTTTTGAATTAATTATCATTTGCAAGAAAAGAAGAAGAAAGGAATTAATATGAAAAATTAAAAAATGATTTTATGATAGTATTTATTTGAGTTAGATTTTAAGAAGTATATATCATTCAACTTTTTACACCACCGTAATCCATCTATCATTGAAATGTGATAATTTAATAAGATGTAAACAAAAAAAAACAAAAAAAAAACAAAAAAAGAAAATAATTAAGTGATTTAAAGCTCTGAAGAAATAAATATAAATAATTTCCTTGAAAAATAATAATAATATTAGTTCTTTTATAATAAATATAGCAGTTATACGGTATATCTCTGAGAAATAATTAAACTGAAAAACGGAATTAAATTGTGTATTGAATGTCAATCATTTCGTACAAATAAGTGAATGAGTTTTTGTTTTTCATTTTTTTCCTCCCTCCTTCCCTCCCTCTCTCTCTTTCTCTCTCCCTTCCTCTCTCCTTTTTTTCTCTTGCAAAATTTTATTAAAGAAATAAGTCAGATCAGAAATAGAATAAAATAAAATTTCCGGAAATGAATAAAATGAAATTAAGGAATTAAATTCGGTCTATTATATGTGTACAAAGATAAATTGATTAAATTTATTAATTATTATATTCAAAAGACTGATCTGTTAATTTCTTCAGTTCTTATCAATCTTATCACTTTTTTTTTGCTATCTATCAGATTAGTGTTAAATGCTTTTTTTGTACTTTTATTTCCTTTTGAAAAAAAAAAAAAAAAAGAAAAGAAAAAAAGTTATTTTTAAATTTACCAAGAAAATTTCAATGACGTAAGCAAAAATTGAACGATTAGTTTCAATGTTAAAATTGAAAATCAATCGTTTCTTACATTTTTGTTTCAGTAAACTGTAAATTGTTTGACATTTGTATCAGTTCTTTTGTCACTTCATATATGACATTTCATTAGTTTTAATTTTGAACTAAAAAATCAAAAATGAAAAAAAAAAAAAAAGGACAAAGAAAAAAGATGTTAATTAATTAATTAATTAATTAATTGATTGCCAATAAAAATTTGTTAAAATAAATTCATTTGTTTAATACAGTAATGATTTAAATTTGAAATTTTTCTAATGGCATTTAATGTTTTTCAAGTTTTTAGAATTTCAAAATATATGTGTAAAATGAATGGTGATATATTTCGTTAAGAAAAAAAAAAAAAAAATGAAAAGTGATACTTTTTGAAAAAGCATTAAACAACTTCGATTTGATGATTCATAAGATAATAATCAAAATATCAATAAATTTATAAAACAAAAAAAAAAAAAAAAAAAGAAAAACTGGGAATAAGGAACGCAAGATGAGCTATTATTACTACGTTAAAAGTTTTGTTGTAAAGTAAAATTTGGGTTTTAATCATCGAAGCGAAAATCAACCAACCAATCAACCAAACAACCAATCAACCAACCAACCAACCAAACGAATCAACGAACGAACAATTTTTTTTCTTTTTTTTTTTTTTCTTTGCTCTTTCCTTATTTTATTTCAAAAATTTATCCTTGGAATTATACAATTTTACCATACAATGATAATAACAAAAAATTGAATTTCTTTTTTTTTTTGTTTTTTATTTGTTACAAAAAGAAAAAAAAAAAAAAAAGGAAAAAGAAAGAAAAATATATCGTTTTTATTGTTTATCAAAATGCTATCATCTTTAAAAGTTTTGAATGAAATTACATTAAATGTTCTTATGAAAAAAAAAAAAAAAAAGAAAAAATTCTTTCCAACAGAAATAAATGAAAAAGAAAGAAGAAAAATGAAAAAATAAAGACAAAAAAAAAAAAAAAGCAAAAGATTAAAAATTTTTTTAATTTTCAATTATTTCAGTTTTACTTTTATTGCAAATAATAAGTTTATCTCAAATTTTAAGTAAGTAATTTTAAGATATTTATTTAATATTTATTTCAAACCAAAAATTTTAATTGTGGTTATGTTACATATTAATACCTAATTGTAAATCTCAATAAAAATAATAATTCGCTCATATCTAAGTTTTACTTTACACTTATTCATACCTGGGAATTTCATTTGGGTAATATTTTAAGCTTATCTGAAAATTTTAGAATAAAATTTTCATATTTATTATTGTCCCTTCTGCACATTTTCATTATAATAAATGCTATCATGGCAAAAGTTTTTTTTTTTTTTTCTTTTTGCAATTGCTTTATTTGAATAAATGTCATAATTTCATTTAAAAATAATTATTAAAAGCCAATGAATCATTTTAGTTTTTTTTTTTCTCTTTTTTTTAACTTCCAATGTTGTCTTTTTTTCTATTAAAATATGGTAAATAGTCAGAAAGTTATCAATATTACTTGCCCTTTTAAATGTTTCATTTTGTCTCTTTTCAGTATAATTTTTTTTTTTTTCTTTTTTGATATCTAATTTAAAATTTAATCACAAAAAAAAAAAAGAAACGATGAAGATAATTTTTTTTTTTTTTAAATTTTTTATTTCCACTGTCATCATTTCATTTTTTGTTGAAATATGATAAATAGTCGAAAATTTATCAATATTATTTGCCATTTTTGTTGTTTTCTTTGTGCTTATAGCATCATCAATTCATTTAATATTTTAACAATTAATTGATGTTTGTTTCTAACATTCATATGAACTTTTTCAAAAAAAAAACAGAAATGAAATTTGCTCAGTGAAATTTGATTGATAATACCTCAATGCCATTATTATCAATCATACATACACTGCAACAATCATCATCGAACATCTTTTCAAATTAAAATTATTTAAAATTATTTATGCAAATGTTAAATTAGTGTGCTAGGAAGAGAAAAGAGAAAGAGGAAGGAAGACAAAGTATACAAAGAGAGAGACAGAGAGAGAGGGAGGGAGAGAGAGAGACTGAAAATGAAATAAATAATGAATTTCATTTTTCATCGATACAGCAGCCTAGGCGGAAATGGAAGTGTAAAGAGGAAAAAAGCAAAAAAAAAATAAAAAAAAAAAAAACATGAAAAGAGACATTCATTCGTTGCAAAAGGTAAAATGCAACTATCTTAAAATTAATTGAAATTAAAATAAAATTAGATATGCATGAATTAATTGGAATAGAAATAATTAAAAATGGAATAGAATTAGTTAAAAATGGGATAGAAAAATTTTAACATTTTTTCCATTCTATTTGCTTACTCATTTGTTTGTTTACATACTTTAGTCAATTTATTTGTTTTGAAAAAAAAAATGCTATCGTTCAAAAAAGTTTGAAATAATCTATTTTACAACAAATGTAGCAATCATTCATATATAATATATTTATTTATTATTTAAACTTTTCAGAAAATATAATTTTCAATAATTCCAATATATTATTTTCATTAAATGATATCATATTTTCTAATCAAAATAATATAGCATTAAATATTTGAATTTATTGCTCCGTTCTTCCATATTTTTCTATACAAATTCGTTTAAGAATCATGAAAATCAAATCAAATGCATCAGTTAAATTTTAATAGTTGAAATTAGTCAAATAAATTTTGACTTCTATCAAATGAATAAATTCACAGAAAAATAAGGAATGAATAAGTGTAAAAGAAAGAAAAAAAAATGTAAGGAAGAAAGGTTTAAATGTGAAAATAATAAAATAACAACAAAAAAAAAACAAAATAAAAAAAGAAAAAAAAATGAAATAAAAAATAAGAATAGATCAGAAATGAATTCTGCTCGATATGTGTTTTTCTTTTTTTAT